TCATAGTCTATGACATAGGCACAGGATCACCCTGAATGTGAGTCAGCACCATGGGGGCCTCTGACGCTTGATTGGAGGCTCAGACACCTTTCAGAAGACTGTTTCCTGCCTCCCTGAGCAGAGGAAACCACACAGTCGGCCTTGAACTGCCTCATGCCCGAGTGCCTCCAGGGTTTTGCCTATGGTACCCAGTCATAGACGGCTGCAGGTTGGCCCAACTCTGCAGCTTGGCTGAGGGGTGTGGGGGCTGAAGGAGACTGAGCCAGTGACTGGGTCTCAGGAAAGTTGGGGACTTTGCCAGAGCAAGTTGCTAGAGGCCCCTGCAGTGGTGTGTTACAGGACAGCATTCTGTGCCACATTAAAATGGACCACTGATGCCTGGCAGGCGTGGCTCAGCAGGTTGAGCATTGATCTATATGATCCAGGAGATAGCAGTTGGATTCCCTGTCAGGGCACATACCCGGATTGTGGGCTTGATCCCCAGCAGGGGGCGTGCAGGAGACAGCCGATTAATAACTCTCTCTCCCCCTCTCCCTCTCCCTTCTTCTCTCTGAAATCAATAAAAATATATTTTAAAAATAAATAAATAAAATAGACCACTGAGAAGACTCTCTAGTATATCAGTGGGGGATTCAGGGAGGGGCTCAGCTGAAACCCCTGGGACTGTCCTGTCTAGAGGTGTTAGTTGGAAGAGTCATCACTAAGGCCCAAAGGACCCTCCAAAAGGTTTGTAATGTGAAGAAATTCTCACCAAATGCAGTTTCTTTATTATACATCAGCTCACCCAAGTGACATGGGTGTAAAAGTGCTCGCCCATCTTTCTGCAGTCTTTTCTGGCCATTTCTAGGTCCTACAACTCCTGCATAGATAAGATACCAGCTTGTGAGGTCTGGATGATAAAACTTAGGTTTTCTTGGTTCTAGAAGCCAAAGGTCATAGAATCCATAGTGAGAGTCCAGTTTTCAGTTTTGTCTTTCAGTTGTAGCTAACTGGCCGGCTCATACTGTGGGTGCAAACCTGCTTTTTTTGATAGGGGACTAAGTAACGGAAGCTCCTCTGCCCATTTCCTCTTTCTCTAGGTGAGGAAGGATACCGATTTGGGGTGAAAGACTGCTTGTGTTGCATGGTGTTTAGCACAGGTGCTGGATCCTCTTCAAATGTGGTGTCTACTGTGCGAGAGAGGGCACCAGTGAGGCAGTTGGAGAGAATGTCCCAGAACTGAGCAGGGATTCTGTTACCAGTCATCTGCATATAGACTGAGGCGTGACCCGTACCTTCCCATGTGGCAGTTCCCCAGTCATTGGGCACGGTGATTCATTGTGGGCAGTCTTTACTCCTCTGGGTCTGCCCAGGCTTTGTGGTTTTGATTCTTAATGTTTTTGGATGTACTTTATGGATCAAGATTCCTAAAGCTAGGTGTGTGGCTGCTCCGTGCTGGGTTTGCCTTCCATCTCAGAAGCTTGTCCTCTCTGAGGTTGCTGAAACTGGAGAGATTTCTGGCTTTTTCTGGGTGGCCTATGATATTCTCAAGCCAGGCTTTGTCCTGCAGTTTCTGCCTCCTGTGTGTGTTCCTACTAAGTGCCTGAAGGCTCCTTTCCCAGATACTGCATTATAAGGTCAGCAGGTATGTCTCCCGCCACTCCAGGGCAGTGGTGGTGATGGGGGCCTGAGTGACCTGAAATCCTGGGGACGTTCCATGGCTGGGGCCAGGCTGTCCCCAACAACATATGCTGGTGCTGAGGAGCACTCCTAGAACTCTGGTTCCTGCCTCTCACCTGCCGTTCCTGGCTTGGCAGCCCTTAGGAGTTGGTTGTGGGTGGTCACAGTGCAGCTGGGGCAGAAATATTTACATGAGTAAACCAGACTCCAAAGATAGTGAGAGCCTCAAGTGCAGGTACGCCTGGCTCCAGCACACCTGTTTTAGACTGAAGAGGAGGTGAGTGCTGGCATTTGGGCACCTGCGGCAAGTCCTCCCTCCCATACCCCCTGGGTTTCCATCCACTCCTGGTAGGCAGGTCTTATCAGGCAAGCAAGTCCCTGAGGGTCCCCAGCCTTCGCCCTATTCCCCTGTGGGACCCTGGCTTCCCCTTCCGGTGGCTCCTTTGTTCCCTTTGATACTTTGATCTTCTACTTTGGGGTATGAATAGGAGACAAAGCCTTGATGTGCTGGGTCCAAGGCCAGTTAGGAAGGAGGACTGGGGAGTGGAACCTGGATATGCTCTGGGCCCACTCGTGCAGCAGCCTCACAGTGTGTCCTGGGCCCTTTTTCTGCCCACAGGGGTGGGTGGGGGACAAGCACTGACAGCATTCAGCATGTGCCAGGCGCTATGATCACACAAGGCATCGTTTCCCTCTTTTTACAGATGAGAAAACAAGGACTGAGGTTGGGTCAGGCCTCAGCCTGCCTGGAGCTGGGACTCAGCCCAGGGCTTCTGCAGATGGGGCTTCCCCTTGGGTAGGCTGCTGTTACAGGGATGAGTCCTGGCTTGTCACAGGGGCTATGTCTTTCAGAAGGAACTTTTATATCCTGCCTCACTCAGGCCCTGAGAGGAAAAGTGCTCAGAGTTTTGAAATCTGGGAAGAATGTCTGGAACTCCATGGACTGAGGGGCTCCTGCTTTGTCAAGGTAGAACAGGTGGTGCATCCCCGAGCATTCCCTCAACTGAGTGCCCTTGTGGGGCAGGCTGCTGGTGGAATCTTTTAGGGACCCTGGATGCTGCCAGCCCTCAGGCATGTTTAGATTTCCCAGTTCAGGGGCTTTCCCAAATGGCCTTAAAAATGCAGGGTGCCAGCTTGTCTGTGACTTGGCTACGTTCCTTGTGGAACTCAGGTTTGTTTTGCCTCTGTGGCCCTTCTATTAAAGTGAATCACTGCCACACAAAGTGCTGCCTGGGCCTGACACTGCCAGGACCTAGATGCTCAGAGATGCATGAGTTTTGGACTGTTCAGGTTAGTACCTCTCCGTCCTGTTTCAGGAGACCCCAAGACCCTGGTAACTGTCTGCATCAGGGCTGTAGACCCGACTTGAATACCTATCCTATGGCCAGCCTTGGCTGGGCTCTAGGACCCTGACGAGCCATAATCTGCAGAGGGGACAGCAGGCAGGTGTGCAGGTGGGAGAGTCTTGGCTCTGTTTTTCTGATATGGCTTGTCCTAAGTGTGTGTAGAGCTGTAGGTAGACCACAGTGAAAGAATTTGTTTCAATAATCAACATGAAGCCACCAATTCTGCTCTTCCATCTCCCAGTTAGACATTGAGCATTATAACTTGCTTTGGTGAAACCTGGGGTTTTCTTTAATGTTTATTTATGTTACATGTTTCTGACATGTTATAATGTTACTTGGCGTGGTTTAAATAAGCTGGCGCTGGCTGTGTGAGAGCCTAGGCCAAAGAGTGGCCTGGGTTTCTTCCTAAGGAAACGTCCGACAGCAGAACTGGCTGTGAGGTCAGCAGAACAGGAGGGAACCAGGCTGGGAAGCTTGAGGGGGTGGGGCCCTTCTCTGTTTTAAAGTGCCCTTGTGCAGCTGGAGCAGTCTTGGAGAAGCACTGGGGCGGCTTACTCATCTGTGCTGATGGAACACACAGGGCTGGGCATAGGCCTAGCTGCCTGGCTACTTGGGAATGTCCCGTGGGCCTGGCCAGCCAATTGGCACCCACCTCTGGAGCCTCTCCTGGTCTCTCCCAGCCCTGTTCATTCTTTTTTCTTCTTCTTTTTTTTTTTAATAGCTGTCCTTAGTATTGTTCTTGAAATATATCGATTTCAGAGAGAAGAAGGGAGAGGGGGAGAGAGATAGAAACATCAATGATGAGAGAGTCATTGATTGGTTGCCTCCTGCATGTCCCCTACTGGGGATTGAGCCCGCAACCCGGGCATGTGCCCTGACTGGGAATCGAACTGCGATCTCCTGGATCCTAGGTCGATGCTCAAGCGCTGAGCCATGCCCGGCCGGGCCCTGTTCAGTCGTCTTTACAGGTGGTTTTCCTTGACTGACTTTACCCAGAGCTCCATCCGGGCCCTCCCCTTTCCCCTTCACTGCTCCCCATCTGCCACGTATGCTCTCATCCCAGTGGTAGCTGTGGGATGGAGTGGGGTTAGGAAACATTGTTGGGTGGCCAGAGATCTAGGTCCACACCCTGGGTCACCTGCTGTCTACCTCTCAGGATGCCAATTCCTGCCCCACCCCTGTAAAACATCTCATGGTTCCCTGACTTCTTCATTAGGGCCTCACATCTTTGTTTTATGTATGTTTGCAAAACAGGAGCATTCAAACTTTATATGTTTATAGGTGGATGAGGCTATTTGCATATTTTACATAATTGAACGGAAAAAAATTTAAAGCACAGGTTTTTCAGCCAAAATATTGAAATAAGAATTTTTTTATACCTAAGAAAGATTGTAAAGGAAAAGTATATTTAGTGTTCTTTATGGATTTCAAAACTGATTTCTACAGATATTTTACCATTTCAGATGCTGGCTGTGTTTGCAGTGGATGGGTAGTGAATTTGCAGAGGATGGGGCTTCTTAGTGGTGTGTTCATTAGATGACGGTGCATCCTACAGTGGCTGGAATGTGGTGTCAGCGGAGGGCAGAGAGGAGGCTGAGGTGAGGCTGGTAGGAGTGCTGAGGGGTGAGCCACTCGGACCCGATTCTGCTTCTGCAGGCAGAGTGGGTGAGGACGTGGCCAGGCATGTCACTGGCATAAACCCCCAGCATTCTTTGAGCCCCATGGCATTAGTTCCCTGGGGTGAGACGTGTTTGAGTGCCAGCCCTGCTGTCTCTCTACCGTGTGGTCTTGGGTGAGTTGTTTGCCTTTTAAGCCAACCCATCTGGCAGCCCTAGTCTTCCCTGACTGCTCAGTGAGCCCCCAGAGAGAGGAGTTGGTTCCCTCAGGAATTCTGAATTGTACTTCAAGCCTATCACACAATTCAGGTGAGGACAGTTGTAATTTTCAGGTTGTGCAGTGACAGGAACACTTACTTCATGCTGGTGTCTCTTCTAGGTGTCGGCTGCAGGGAAGGAGGCCCTGCCGTCCTGGCTGCACTGGGACCCACAGAGCCACACCCTGGAGGGCCTCCCCCTTGACACTGATAAGGGTGTGCATTACATCGCAGTGAGTGCTGCTCGGCTGGGGGCCAATGGGAGCCACGTCCCCCAGACCTCCAGCGTGTTCTCCATCGAGGTTTACCCGGAAGACCACAGCGAGCTGCAGTCTGTGCGGGCGGCGGCCCCAGACCCTGGGGAGGCGGTGTCATCTGCCTGTGCTGCCGACGAGCCTGTGACTGTCCTGACAGTGATTCTGGATGCTGACCTCACCAAGATGACCCCAAAGCAAAGGATTGACCTCCTGCACAGGATGCGGAGCTTCTCCGAAGTGGAGCTTCACAGCATGAAGTTGGTGCCCGTGGTGAACAACAGGCTGTTTGACATGTCGGCCTTCATGGCCGGCCCAGGGAATGCGAAAAAGGTGGTAGAGAACGGGGCCCTGCTGTCCTGGAAGCTGGGCTGCTCCCTGAGCCAGAGCAGTGTGCCTGACATTCGTGGTGTAGAGGGTCCTGCCAGGGAGGGTGCTATGTCGGCCCAGCTTGGCTACCCTGTGGTGGGTTGGCACATCGCCAATAAGAAGCCCCCTGTCCCCAAACGCATTCGGAGGCAGATCCATGCCACACCCACGCCTGTCACTGCCATTGGGCCCCCAACCACAGCCATCCAGGAGCCGCCATCCAGAATTGTACCGACCCCCACATCTCCAGCCATTGCTCCTCCAACAGAGACCATGGTTCCTCCGGTCAGGGACCCTGTTCCTGGGAAGCCCACAGTCACCATTCGGACTCGAGGTGCCATTATTCAGACCCCAACCCTAGGCCCCATCCAGCCCACTCGGGTTTCAGAAGCTGGCACCACTGTTCCTGGTCAGATCCGCCCAACAATGACCATTCCTGGCTATGTGGAGCCCACGGCAGTCGCTACCCCTCCCACGACTACCACCAAGAAGCCACGAGTATCCACGCCAAAGCCAGCCACACCTTCTACTGATTCCTCAACCACCACAACTCGAAGGCCTACCAAGAAGCCACGTACACCCCGACCGGTTCCCCGGGTAACCACCAAAGCTCCCATCACCAGACTGGAAACGGCCTCCCCACCCACACGCATCCGCACCACCACCAGCGGGGTGCCCCGTGGAGGAGAACCCAACCAGCGCCCAGAGCTCAAGAACCACATCGACAGGGTGGATGCCTGGGTTGGCACCTATTTTGAGGTGAAGATACCATCAGACACCTTTTATGACAAGGAGGACACCACCACCGATAAGCTGAAGCTGACCCTCAAGCTTCGGGAGCAGCAGCTGGTCGGCGAGAAGTCCTGGGTACAGTTCAACAGCAATAGCCAGCTCATGTATGGCCTGCCCGACAACAACCATGTGGGCAAGCACGAGTATTTTATGCATGCCACAGACAAGGGGGGCCTGTCAGCTGTGGATGCCTTTGAGATCCATGTCCACAGGCGCCCACAGCGGGACAAGGCTCCTGCGAGGTTCAAGGCCAAGCTTGTGGGTGACCCGGCACCCGTGGTGAATGACATCCACAAGAAGATTGCCCTGGTGAAGAAGCTGGCCTTTGCCTTTGGGGACCGGAACTGTAGCACCATCACGCTGCAGAACATCACCCAGGGCTCCATCGTGGTGGAGTGGACCAACAACACGCTGCCCCTGGAGCCCTGCCCCAAGGAGCAGATCACAGGGCTGAGCCGAAGGATCGCTGAGGATGACGGGAAACCTCGAGCTGCCTTCTCCAATGCCTTGGAGCCTGACTTCAAGGCCTTGAGCGTTGCTGTGACGGGATCTGGTAGCTGCCGGTATCTACAGTTCATCCCTGTGGCGCCACCCAGGAGGATGCCCTCAGAGGCGCCGCCCACAGAGGTGCCTGATAGGGACCCTGAGAAGAGCAGCGAGGATGACGTCTACCTGCACACGGTCATCCCGGCCGTGGTGGTCGCAGCCATTCTGCTCATCGCTGGCATCATTGCTATGATCTGCTATCGCAAGAAGCGGAAGGGCAAGCTCACCCTCGAGGACCAGGCCACCTTCATCAAGAAGGGGGTGCCTATCATCTTTGCGGATGAGCTGGACGACTCCAAGCCACCACCCTCCTCCAGCATGCCACTTATCCTTCAGGAGGAGAAAGCCCCCCTGCCCCCTCCTGAGTACCCCAACCAGAGTGTGCCCGAGACCACTCCTCTGAACCAGGACACCGGGGGCGAGTACACGCCCCTGCGGGAGGAGGACCCCAATGCACCTCCCTACCAGCCTCCCCCGCCCTTCACGGCTCCCATGGAGGGCAAGGGCTCCCGTCCCAAGAACATGACCCCGTACCGGTCACCCCCTCCCTACGTCCCCCCTTAACCCACAAGCGCCTAGGTGGAGGCAGGGGTAGGGCAGGGCCCTGGAGACAACATGGTGTTGTCTGTGGAGACCGGTGGCCTGCAGACCATCGCCCACTGGGAGCCGACACCTGACCTAGCACACTGACACGCAGGGCCTGGACAAGCCCACCCTCTCTGGTCCTCCTAAACCCCAAAGCAGCTGGAGAGACTTTGGGGACATTTTTACTTTTATTTTTTGCCTAACAGCTTTTTGTTTGTTCATAGAAAAGTCTTCGCTGCATTTTTGATGGCTGGCTCTGAAAGCACCGTTTGGAGTAGAGGTAGATGGAGGGAGCGAGGAACCGTGAATGAACTCGCAGGCAGTGCTGGGTGGCCTCCCGGCTCTCTGCGTTTTGCCTTTAACACTAACTGTACTGTTTTTTCTATTCACGTGTGTCTAGCTGCAGGATGTAACATGGAAAACAGTAGCTAAAGATTAAATTCAAAGGACTTTTCTTAAGGTTAAGTTTTTACATTTAATCTGCTGTTTACCTAAACTTGTATGTATAATTTTTGGGTGGGTATGGGAAATTGCTTTGCTAAAAATAAGCTCCCAGGGTGTTTCAAACTTAGAGAAGACCAAGGGACAGTATTTTTTATCAAAGGAATCCTATTTTTTCACACTACGTAAACTTGGTTGCTCTGATACCCCAGAGCCTGACTGGGGGCCTCCCGGCCCTGGCTCAGGGGCCAGGGCCCTGGTGCTGGGCTTGCTCTCCTGCTGTAGCCAAGGGCTGGAAGCTGGAGGGGCCTCTTGGGCCGTGGACATCCACCCCCCACCCCATGCACGCTAGCGGTTCACCACCAAGGGGTCTTCATTTCCATAGAAAGGGGACTCCAAGAGGCAGTGGGCCATGGCCCCCAACCTAGGTGCTCCAGGGTGGGCCAGCTGCTCATGGGGATACCTGGGGAGGTCGAGAGACTCGACCACATCAATCTAGTTTCTTTTATCCTTCTTCTGTGTTTTTCCCTCCTAAAAGGAATATCATGGTTTTTGAAACACTCAGTGGGGGACATTTTGGTGAGGATGCAATATTTTTATGTCATGTGATGCTCTTTCCTCACTTGACCTTGGCCACATTGTCCCAACAGTCCACAGCCCCCATCCTGACCCACCCCATTCCTCTTCTCTGGCGCTCCAGTCCCAGACGTGGGGCCTGAACGGCTGGGAAAGTCTGGTGGCTGGGGAGGAGTGCCAGCAATAGTTCATAGTGAAAATCTGTGGGCTCTCAAAGCTAATTTTTTACTAAAGTTTTTATACAGCCTCAAATTGTTTTATTAAAAAAAGATTAAAAATGGTGATGCTTACAGCAGTTTGTACAAGCTCTTAGTGTTGATTCCATGGAACTGACGGCTTTGCTCATTTTGATTCCCCCCCCACTTCCTTTCCTAATGGTTTAAATTCTGGAATTACACTGGGGCTTCTTTTGCCTTTTTTAGCAGAATGTCCGTCCATCCGCATCTCTGTCCCATGACTCAGGGGCGCCCCCCTCTGCTTTGATTCTCCTTTGGAAGAAACCATTTTGAGCATGACTTTTCTTGGTCTGAGAGTTCTTTGGGGGACCTTTTAGGGAGGAATGCCTTTTGCAATAATACGATCGAGGGTAGGTGGGTGCACCCAGACTCCCTTTGCACACCAAGCAGCCACTTCTAAGCCATATAGACCTTTCTGCAGAGGATTCGTGCTGCCTCAGGAGGGAGGGCCAGTCCGGGGGGTCTCCACCCTGCCCTCCAGAGGGCCTTTCCCCTTGCGCCTTCTCCCACAGGGCCCAGCCTCTCCCCTGCCTGGCCCCAGCGGGAACTCGAGTGGGTGGTGCCCAGGATGGGGAGCCTGCAGTAGATGGAGGCTCAGCAGACCTCTGGTGACTGGGCCTTGTGCCTCCAAGCCGATCCAAGCCGGAGTTTCCCCAGTGCCCCAGAGCCAGGAGCACAAGTGGGGTCTGACCTGGTGAGATGATTTTTGATGACCTCATCAAAAAATAAACACTTCTCAGTGTTCCAGGTGAGGGCTCTGAAAGGCCTTCCAAACAGCTCAGTTGCCCCTAGCAACCCCACCATGGGGCACTGCCTGCAGAAATGTGGCTGGCCCAGAATGGCCTGTTGCCATAGCAACTGGAGGCACGGGGCAGTGAACAGAATAACAACGGCAGCAATGCCCCCGCAGCAGGCAGCTTCCCGGAGTGCGGGCTGCGGATGGCCAATGGCCGATGAGACAGCGTCTCACGTTCAAGTGTTCACAACCACTGATGTGTTTTTATTTCCTTCTATATGATTTTAAGATGTGTTTTCTGCATTCTGTATAGAAACATATCAAACTAAATAAAAGCAGTGTCTTTATTACAATGCCATTGCCTCCAAACCTCTATTTCCCTGGCCTCTACACATTCTAGGACTTGAGGGGGTGGGGCTGGGCGATGGGACCCAGGCAGACCCAGTCCAAGGTGGCCTTTGAGATGCTCACCTTAGGGCCTCCAAGAGGGTGGGTGTGTGCTCCAGAAGTTATGCCAACACATGAGCCCTCCTTAGCACTTCTGCCTGAACCAGCTGAGACCAAGTCTCAGTTTCCTCATTGGGGGAGGTGGCAAAAAAATCCAGTGAAACTGGGTGGGAGTGGAGGGTGGTGGGAAAGGTCCTGCCACAGACTCTCTGCCCCAGAGTATGTCAGCCCCTGCAGGTCCAGGACAGGAGTCCCTCAGCCTGGGCCCCTGCAAAGATTAGACTTAGGGATTCTTCTGGCTGCAGCTCCACCCCAGCTCCTGCCCCCATTGCCTTGTGGGCTTGGGGCTGGCCAGTCTCCCAGATAGTCTCAAGGCAAGTTTGGCCTTGGCTTTGGAGTGGGGAGAAGGGAAAACCTGTTTCTGGCCAAGCTGTTCTGCCCTGGTTTGGCTTATAGATTCTGGGAGTTTTCCCCTAAGTGCCCTACCTGAGATGGACAGGCCAGCTGGGTAGGCTTAATATGACTTACTGCCCAGGAAGGGCCGGGTAATCCTGGGACACTGCCCAGGATGTGGGAGGCAGGGAATGTAGCAGCTGTGTCTTCTGAAGCAGGATCAGGGGCCATTGGTCACGGAACAGCTAGTATCTCATCTGGGCTCAGCCCCACCCCCACAAGGTCCTCACCATCTTCACCTATAGCCCTTGGCCACTTCTCTGCTCACAACCTTCAAGACCCCGATATGGTCCCATATTGGAGCTAGAGCTGAGTCTCAGAATGGGGGACATGTTGAGGGTCAAACAACTATTTCTGGAATACCACACTAAGTGCCAGGAAAGGCTGTCCCCAGTATGTGTTCAGGGACACATACTCCTAGAAGCAGGAGCCCAGGAAATGAGGCTGCCCTTGCTGTACTGGCTTTAAGAAGTTCTGCTTCATGTCTAAAGTGAAGCCACTGGATTATGAATGGAATCATTACCCTGAACTCTGGCAAAGGGGTCCCTGGTTTCAGCAGAGAACAGTAAGGCCAGCAAGGCAGGAAAAGAAGCCCAAGGGTCTCTGCCTCTGCCCTACTCCCTTCTGGGAATGAGTATCTGATGTTTGGCTTTGCAGCCTGCAGCCCCCCAGCATTCCTGCCAGGCGTCTGTGACCTCTTCTTGGTGAGCATGGGGACTGTTTACTCAGGTCTTTTGACCTGGAGAGAGGGTGATGGAGGGAAGCGACATGGTGGGGGATTCTGAGATACCCAGGACTGGAGGGGTGGTGGAATTGGGATAACAAGTTACTCCCAATATACAGTGTGCTTGCAAAAAGGGCAGAGAAAAATTCAAGTGAGGGTGAAAGAATTTGCATTCTCCCGAGCCAGAGCTGTTAGCTGGGGAATATTGGGGTGCCTAGAGCTCCTGGCCAGGCTCACCCTCTAGAATACCATCAATTTGGTGGGGACTAGAGGCCCCACACAACTTGCTCTATTGCAGCCATCAGCCTGGCCTTCACCTGCTCCCAACTGGCTGAAAAAGCTGCTAGGAGAGCCCTTCCCTAGCTTCTCGAAAGCATGGAAGGCTTCACTTAAGCACCAGACTTCCCAGGAAGAGCTTCATTCCTCTGTATATTACTATACCTCAAAAAATATCAATCAATCCTGGCCGGCATGGCTCAGTGGTTGAGCATCAACCTAGGAACCAGGAGGTCACGGTTCGATTTCCAGCCGGGGCGAATGCTGGGTTGTGGGCTCGATCCCCAGTAGGAGTTTTCGGGATGGTTTCTCTTATCAGTGTTTCTAACTCTCTATCCCTCTCCCTTCCTCTCTCTAAAAATCAATAAAAACATTAAAAAAGCCAACCCAATCGGCTGATGACTTCCGATTCTTCTGCTTTGCTTGCCTTCTTGGTCACCATCGTGAGGCAAGATGACTGCGGCCCAGAGAAGGCAAGGGTCCAGGTCCTAGGCTAGTACAAGGCAGATGCAATTCTAAGTGTGATCTAAACACTTTATATTTTTATTCTTTTTTCTTTTATTGATTTGAGAGACAGAAAGGAACATGGATTTGTTGTTCCACCTACCCATGCGTTCATTGGTTGATTCCTGTACGTGCCTTTACCAGGGAACCTGGCTTATTGGAAGAATGCTCCAACCAACTGAGCTACCCAGCCAGGGCTAAACATTTTAGATTTTTTTTCTGATTGTAAAATTTTGTTCATATTGTGGAGTGGCAAAGAAGTATATGAAGCCCCCACTGAGGACTGCTGGGTACCATTTCCTTTATGGAGACCCTAGAAGACCCAGAGAAGATAGGGCAAGATAT